AAACTTGGGCATAGAATACCTACTGTTATTTCAGCTTTTGTATATTTCTAGGTATGTGCACTGCCAACCGTGTCAGGGAGACACCAAGATCTGAAGTATGTCAACCCAGAAACAGTAAGCAGATTTCTGGAGATGGTAACTGGTTACATAAGCTGCCATCTGGTCTGTTCTGTCCCTAAAATCCCCACTTCCATTTGTTTTTCTTTCACTGTGTTCACTCACACAGACTCCTTCTTCAATTGAAGCTGTATTTAAAAGACTCTCTTTTGGCCTGGCATTGTGGCTTATGCCTATAATCCCAGTGCTTTGGGAGGCCAGGGCAGGAGACAGGAAGATTGCTTGACCTCAGGAATTTAAGGTTGCAGTGAGCTATGATGATGCCACTGTACTCTAGCCCAGGCAACAGTGAGACCCTGTCTCAAAAAAAGAAGTGGGCTCATGATGAACATGTAGTATTGTAATTATCTTTGTAACACATTATAAACATCTTTTTAAACCAACAAGATATGTATATCATTTTAATGGTTTACAGTATTTGCCATCTTACAGTAATACTAAGATATCTGTATCATTTAATGGTTTATAGTATTCACCATCTTTCAGTATATACTATCATTTTAAAGGTTTACAATATTCTACTGACATGTATACATTATTTATCCAAACCTTGTTATTGAATAGTTCTTTCTTTCTTCCCTTCCTTTCCTCCTTCTCTCCCTCTTTCCACTTTCCATTTCTCCTTCCCCTTTCCTCTTGATAGGGTCTCACTCTGTCACCTGGGCTAGAGTGCAGTGGCATCATTTGGGCTCACTGCAACCTCAATCTCCTAGGCTCAAGCAGCCTCCTGAGTAGCTGGGCCTACAGGTGCATGCCACTATGCTTGGCTAACTTTAAATTTTTGGTAGAGACAGGGTTTTTGCTACATTGCTTAGGTTGTTCTTAAACTCTGGGCCTCAAGCGATCCTCCCACTTTACCCTCCCAAAGTGCTAGGATTACAGGCCACTGCACCCAACTTCTAATATTTTGATAACCAAAATCAATGCTAAAATGAATAGGATTATACCTATATCTTTGTGTGCTTTTCTCTTTACTCAAGATATTAGAAAAGAGGGCAGCACCTGTGACCCAGTGGGTAGGGCACCAGCCCCATATACCAAGGGTGGTGGGTTCAAGCCCAGCCTGGGCCAAACTGCAACAAAAAAATAGCCGGGCGTTGTGGTGGGTGCCTGTAGTCCCAGCTACTCGGGGGGCTGAGGCAAGAGAATCATTAAGCCCAGGAGTTAGAGGTTGTTGTAAGCTGTGACGCCACAGCATTCTACCCAGGGC